CTTGCATGCTACGTCATGCACAACTGGAGTAAAAAAAGAGAAGTTGTGATGGATGTTGAAAAGCTGGGAGAACAAAGCGTCTTCTGAGCAGAAGGATGAAAACATGGAACAGGAAGAACATCACCTTCAGCATGGTGGAATGTTGCAGTGTTGGGAGAAACAAATTAGACAGGATTTAATTGACTTCAAATTGATGCAAGTTGGGTGAAGTGATCTTTCATTGACTGTAAACTTGTTGTTGCACAATAGGTAAGCAGACCCTGTTTAATCCCAGAAGCAAACGTCTCTTTTGATTTGTTTTTCTTTGCTTTTCCTGTTGTTCAATAAAAATGAATGATTTCAACTCTTTGAAAGCTTTCAACATAATAGTTGTTTTTGAACACATTCCACAATGACAAAATGGTATTCTATGCTAGGGGTTTTAGAAAAAGTAGCACTCCTTTAGACACAGTTCTAACACAATATACTGCTAAGGGCAGCAGTCCAGGCAGCATCAGAGGAGCAGGAAAGTTGACGTTTTGGGTCGGGACCCTTGAAGAAGGGTCCCGATCCAAAACGACAACTTTTCTGCTCCTCTGATGCTGCCTGGCCTGCTGTGTTTCTCCAGCTCCACACTGTGTTATCTCTGACTCCAGCATCTGCAGTTCTTACTATCTCCGCTAAAGGCCGGTAGTCACTAAAGAGCTTCATTCTTGACAGTTGATCAGGCAGGCAATACTTTTCTGATATTAGGTTCTATTTCCAAAGAAGAGTCACCTATGCACTTACATGACCTCAAAAGCTGATGTTTTTAGTTTCCATCCAATTATCAGCAAAGTGAGGGCTATTCATGGCTGGTAACAATTATTCTGTTACACAGCTGGGCTTCAAAAATAGTGCCAGAAATCATGGAATGTTTTGGCAGTGGCAAGTCCTTCCACTGCTAGAAAACAGACAAAACATGTGCGTGACATCATCGAGGCACTGTACAACCATAATAAGGTGAGCAGCAGAGAATTGCATGTGATAACTTGCGACAACTCATGGAGAGAAACTTTCCGTAAGACTTGCAGAAATCAACGTTTCACTGTTTTTATATATCGGCCTACTAACTGTTTCTCTCCATTGATGTTGTCAACCCTTTAAGTCTATTGGTTTTTTTGTGTCTTAATTCAGAATTGTAGCATCTTGTTTTCCTATCAATCCTTTCTGCTTATTTGTATTTTGTTTCCCATTATCTTTTTTGACTTGTTCCAGCTCTACTCTGTGTGGTTTATTTTATTCTTCTCTGGGTGGTGAGCATCTCTGACAAAGCAAAAATTTGTTGCTCATCTGTAACTTGCTTGAAAAAAATGATGATGCTTACTTAGTTTTTATGATTTTTGTATCAAACTTTTATTTTATTTAAAATTATTTTATCAAAATTTTGTATTATTACTCTACTTCCTTTGATTTTTGAGATATTTCCAAAAAGAGAATCAGAAAACTAATTCACAATATTTTAGTCAAAACTATGAACAGATCATTCATTCATTATACATAGAAAAATCTAATATTTAAAATGATAAAGTAAAACAACAGTTAATTTTTTTATTATTCATTCATGGGATGAGGGTGTCACTGGCTGGACCAGCATTTACAGCCCAGAGGACAATTAGAGTCAACCACATTGCTGTAGGTCTGGATGACCCTAAAGATCCTTAGTGAACCAGATGCATTTTTCCAACAACTGACAATGGATTCTTAGTCATTGTTAACTCTTAATTCCAGATGTGGACTGAAATCAAATTCCACCATTTGCCATGGCAAGATTCGAATCTGAGTCCCCAGAACATTAGTTGTGTCTCTAGATTAATAATCCAGTGACAACACCACTAGTCCATTACCTCCCTGTTAATTAAACTGTATTCTCTTCTACTATTTTTAAATAGTAAAATTTTAATTTTATGGCATTTGAATTAGTCACAGCAGCGAGGTAAGACATTTCATTTACATATTTAAATTAGCCATTCACAATGTTATTTGGAGCCCAATTTCAAGATCACTGCCATTGCGCAGGTTTCCCAGCTGGCGATACGAGGGAAGAGAAAGCTGGCAACTTGGAAAAGTAAGTGTCTTTTCCAACACTCCTTATGGGAAAGACGTACGAGCCCTCCCCACAGTTCCTCAAGAAAATGTTTGGTCTCTTTGATGTCTCCTCTTCCTTAACAAATTACCAGTTTCATCGAGATAACAAGGTGTAGAGCTGGA